AAAAGGTGTCGAGAGATTATAAAAGGTGTCGAGAGATTATAAAATGAAGGATGAGGATGTCCATTGGCCAACATTCTGGATTATCATGCGAGAAGAGTGAAAAAGGTGTCGAGAGATAATAAAAGGTGTCGAGAGATTATAAAAGGTGTCGAGAGATTATAAAATGAAGGATGAGGATGTCCATTGGCCAACATTCTGGATTATCATGCGAGAAGAATCAAAAAGGTGTCGAGAGATTATAAAATGAAGGATGAGGATGTCCATTGGCCAACATTCTGGATTATCATGGTTTTATTATCTCTCGACACCTTTTTGACTCTTCTCGTTTTATAATCTCTCGACACCATTTTATAATCTCTCGACACCCATGATAATCCAGAATGTTGGCCAATGGACATCCTCATCCTTCTTTTTGACTCTTCTCGTTTTATAATCTCTCGACACCTGCAACTGTAAAAAAAAAGAGTTGCACGGAAATATTTAAATGTAATAAGGCTAACATAAGATGTGTTTATGTGCTGGGAAATAATGTAGAATAATATAAGAAATAGTTTCATACTAATCTATGTGCAGAAAGGCATCAAATATTGGTGAACCAAAAAAAACAAAATATTTGACAATAGATACTATAGTGGGAGTTAAGTATCTTTAGAATGGCTAATTTAAATATTTATATAATACGTATCTTAATTTCCTTTATCTACCTAGAAAGATTATTGTTGAAGTTTTTATGGGTAAAACTGAAACTGTAATTGTAAAAGTTAAAAAAATTAAAACTCGTATTCGGACATATCTTGCCCCCATTGTTTGAAGGGGAATAATTGATCAGATCTCTTGCCTATTTAAAATTTAAAAGCGGCACGTTTCACAACTCCAATGTACAAATTTCAGTCACGTATCTACCCTGATAGTGATGATACTATGCAATATTTAAAGTTAATACTGTGTAAGAAACAAATAATTAATTCGCCAGCAATGTGATCATTAATTTCGCGTAAACCTTTAATAATAGTAACCTTTAGACGAGAATCTCAAGTAGAAGCAAGAACATTACAGGTTTAAAGCCAGAATATTCATTCACAATAATGTGGTTAATTGTTTCATTTTGGTTTTATGTAAATCGGTTAAAGTACTAATGATATTAATATCATTCTCGTTTTTGCAGTTCTAACCCTAATATTTTTAGTTAGGAATAATTATCTCAGATTATATCAGGAGATACAATTTCGAATTTTCTAGAATATCATAAAATTCTTGCTTCCTTTTCTTGTGTTTTTTTTTTCCTTGCTTGAAATTGAAATAGCTGTAAAGAGCCAATTTATTGATTTTTCAATCTTTCGGTCATTTCAAGCTCAGATGGTATTTTAACTTTTAAAAAGTTTGGAACAGTTCACGTGCTTTCAAATAACCCATCATCTAGTAATTGCATTAACTGTGCTGAAAATGAAGATGAATTGGCACTTGAAGTTATAAGGATGATCATATCAACATCATCAAAATCGTATAAGCTCCATGTATTACTGACGAGTCATTTAGAATATGATTGTTTCTGAAACTTTATTTCCATTTTTTTTCCCTTTGATTCTATGTTATTATAGAAAACTAAAGCTGTAGCGAGGTATATCTGAAATATTTCGGAAACATTCAGAGCTTAAAACTTATGAGGAAATTACTCACTAAGAAAACTGAATTGGTTTTCATTAATTTCGAAACGCACTTTATGATCAAAGACAAAGGTAAATGTAAGATAGTAAAGTGTGAAGCAATTCCATTATAATGATCAACAGTAAATAAAAGTTTAACCAAAAAAAAAAAAACACAAAAGATTAACATTAAACGGAAATGTCACGTCAGGTCATTTCGTAAAAAAAGTTGCCGTTTCTTTTAAAGGAGGAGCATAGAGATAATTGGTGATAAACTGAAAACAAGCCATGATCACTCGGCTCAATCTCTTTTATTCATTTGAATCTAAACCATAAAAAAAAATTGTCCAAACAATTATCGAGATTACTCATCAGCACATCCAAATTTTGGAATATTCGAGGTCATCTGTATGGAATTTTGTTTTAAGTATAAAATACCTAATTTATGACGGTCATAGATAAATAAGTAAAGATGTAAAACAAGCGAATATCTGGAATGTTAAAAATAAGGCTAAATATTTAATTGTTATCTTAAAACCAGAGTATCCTAAAATTGCATAAGAAAATCTACTCTATAGATATTTTCCTATGAATTGGATAGATTATTGTAGCTGAGGAAGTCTTAAGTGATGACTCTTGTGTGCTAAAGTTATATTTAAATTACATCAAGGCTTAGAAAAATAATCTATGCTTAAACTTTTTTATTCTATTGTTTGATATAACTATCTTATAACAATACTTAGGAAGAACGTGATCCGAAAAATAGCTGATTTGGTGTTCACTAAGTTCGACACGTACTTTATGATAAAAGACAAAGGAAAAGATAGCGAGGTACGAGACGATTCCACTATAATGATGTAAAGTAAACGAGTCTTTAACCAAAAACAAAAAATAAGCTTTCTCTAACATGATATCAAAGAGGCACGTACATCTCATTCCATAGAAAAAAACGTTGCTGTTTTTTTAACAAGAAGCAAAATATTCCTTGATGAACTTTAGAAAAAACCAAGATCCGTCAGTTTTCTCTCTTTTATTCACTTGTATTTCATTTTTTAATTTTCCAAAGAATTATCTAGATATTCAGTACATCTAAAAATTGGAATATTTGTTGCCCATAATGCTTTCTTTGGAACAAAATGTGGCATCTTTTATTTTAACAGGAAAATACCTAACTTCTAATGGGAATAGATGAATAAAAAAACGTATAACAGATGGATACCTGGAACTTGAAAAAATGAGATTGAACATCTAATTATTTTAGAAAGTTGTATATGCATTCATAAAGATCTTGAATAGAAATAATTAATTAGATAGTTATGAAAAACTGGCATTATCTTTATGAAGAAAATTTTTTCAAAAGGTTTAGGCATAATGAATATTTAACAAGGTTTTTTTATATCGTTTTATGTGTTGCATTTTACGTATTACATATCATAAAATACAACAAAATGCAACATAAGAAATTATGTGTGTAAAAATGTAGACTAATTTCCTTACCATGCAAATCTACCTCAATCCAACTAACTAAAATGTCTTCTACGGCTTCGCTTTTCACTTGACAGCTTAGCCTAATTCCCAAATCACTTCTTGAAAGAATTATTCGAACCGTGGCGGTGACATTTGCTATCCCAAGATCGTTGTTTAGTACAGTTGGCTGTACAGAAATAATATCATCATTTTTCAACCAGGAGACTTCTGGTGTCGGCTTCCCTCCAAACGTTAAACATTGCAATGAAAAAGAATCACCCTCGTAGAAAGGCCCGATAGCTGTAGATGTTTCAATTTTCTTCCCATTCTTTTTAATGACTGGTAGAGTGGGTTTAGCTATGAAAATCAAAATTAAACAAACATTTAGTGAAAGTATACGAATATATAGTTGTACTAGAAATCCAAGGAACAATGAACTGAAATTAATTTAATGATTTACGTGCATTATCTGAGAGAGAGAGAGAGGGAAAAAAATTGAAAATGGAAATTTTTGGTGTCAACGAACAAACTCACCATTTGGAGCAGAGTTGTGTTGTATACTTTAAAATTAATTCTTTTCAAACTGGATAACTTAAGGCATCTATTACAGAAAATATTATCATTTCGTCCATTCGCTGCTCATTTCTAACGATGATTTGTTGACAATCACCTCAAGCTACCGCTTCTTGAATTGTATTACTCAATAATTAAATTATTGTGTGGTACTTGTTAAACTGACATTAAAAACGTAAAAAAAATGCTTTGGTAGTGTTTAGAAAACTTCGTCGTCAACTTTGTTGTCTTCTAAATGTAAGCCGGCAGCTGTGTCTTTGAACACACCATAAAAACTATCACTGGCTGTCTAGGACATTCTTATCGTGGCATTCAAAGGAGGCTGCGGGTACAAGTGAATATTAAGTATAATATACAATTGACAAGATTCCACCTGACAGGGTAGAATCATTGCAAGAGTATTGATTCTATTCAACTATTTTATATATGTTTTGAAAAGCAGGCCTAGTGGTTTTTTATTTGTGCTGCTGAATATAGTGACATGTAATCCTATATGTTAATTCTTTTCCTTAGTCAAAATTTTGAAAGTCTTTTCTCATCAAACAGAATAATATTTAAACATTATTGTCATCAATGACAACATCTATAAAATGTTAATTAAGTGAATTAATTTATAAACCAAATCCTTAGTTATCTATATCAAGTGAATTATGAACATTTTAAAGCAATAGTCAAAAGTAATTAAAGTATCCCTTCTTTTCTGGTGAAATGAAAAAAACTCACTTGTTTCATTTATTGTTTATTTCTACACAACCATAAATACTAAAATAAAAAGTCCCGTAACTATGATATTTTATTAAACACCAGTGGTTTTCTCAAACCACTTTTTAAAAATATCGAAGGCCCGGCAT